ACGACGCTTGGTTGTTCAATGAGGATGAAGTGAAGTCCTGTTTTAATTGTACAAAAAATAGAGAGGAGGAACTTTGTCGATTGAGGATGTGCGAGCAGTCAGGCTTATGTATGACGACTTAGTGTTGGCATCAGCGGGTCGTAATCCGGGAGAGACCATCGTTTTGTGCCATAGACTTTACCATGAAGCCATGCAGAAGATGTACGTCTACAACAATGGTTACGAAGCACAAACATAACCAAATGAGGATATTGTGGATAGAGCCAAAACTAAGTACCGTGCTTTAGGGCTGCAATCGTTGGGCCATTAAATGGAAAAAGGCTCAATAGGGCATGGGTATGTCATTCTGAAACACAAAGACCCAGAGAGGTACATACCCATTTGTCCTACCTTCAACGAGCCAAGCGCACCAACCGGTCGAAAAAACGGTTTGCTCAATGTTCTGCATGCTAAATTTCATTTCAACCTAAAATATGTAGGAGACCTGGTAACCGAGTTGGGGAAGATTAATAAAATTATTGACAACGACCGATTTATAAGAATTGCGGGATCATCATATGACATCAAGGACATGCTCTCGCTTCTTCCCCATACCTCGATTCTTCTTGCCCTCGATTGAATGTTTGACTGGCACGCCAAGCAAGAACGTGACTGTGTTTGGGTTAACTAAGAAGGGCGTGGTGCCTCTGTGTACAAAGGATCAACATGTTTGGGTTGGACTGAAGTTGGATTTGGTGACATTCGTAAACTCATGGTATTTAATTTTGAATTCACCTTTACTGAGGCACCGAGAATAGTGCTCAAACAGGTTTTTGAAATTCTCATGGGGAGTAGTATGAGTCATCCTCTGACGTGCATTATGCACGCATGTTCACAATGGTGTTTCCTGAACTCATTAGGGAAGGATTGTAGACTAGATTTGGGTATCAGATTGATGGATGATGTGTCGTTGTTTGCGATGTGTAAGAAAGACGATGGAGCTTCATCCCACATCGCAACAAAGATTCGGAGGAAATATGAGAGATGTTAACCCCGGACCCTATCATTGAAGAGCACTGCTAATAGATCCGGGGGTTGGGAATTATTGGGTTGCTCGATGGTGATATGAGACAAGTATCTGTACATGGGATGTTTCCAGTTCGTAACGAAAAGGAACTGAGAAAGGGCAACGAACTGCTAATACGGGCGGGCCAAGACTTCGGTTCATGGTCTAACCGTAGCCAAAAAGTCGCGGCAATAACCGGTTGGCTACTCCGTATTGACAAAAATACTTTCATGTTTGAAAAAGTGTCTGTGAGGGTCATGTTGCTACAAATTGTCTATCAGAAAAAAAAGTTTTTCGGAAGCCCTTTTTTGTCAAGGTCCTCAACAACTTCGCAGTGAAATGGGGTCCAGTTTGAAAGCCGACAGCAAGTCTTGTTTGACAATTTTCAGTAGGATTCAGTAATATTTTTTCACATTCAGCGGGTCTGTCTAGGTAGTCGTCTTCACTAGTGCCCGCACTTAGTGTTGTCGACTACCACCATGTTTCTTGGTATGTTCGGTGGTTCTTGGGAACCGTGGTCGGATGGTGGGGCACATGGGATACGACATACATGACGTTAATTTTTTCAATCTGATATCCCGCTAAGCGGGTCTTGCTGAACGCTGAATTGTGTACTTGTATTTGCCCTTGCATTTTCAGTAATAAAATTTCAAACACACTTACGATAATTAACTCTGAAAATCCCGAAGTATGTTTTCGAGAATGAAATCCCAAACGCACTTCAGGATCTAAAAAAAAAAAAAAACTAAGTTAAATGTAAAAATCCCAAAGTACATTTTTCGGTAACGAAATCTCTAACACACTTTGAGATATAATCAAAACAAACATACTACTACATTAAATCCGAAAATTTTGAAGTGCGTTTATGACGATGAAATTTAGAACGCACTTCGATATATAAGCACACTAAGAAATACGACTAAGTTAAATCATAAAATCCCGAAGTATGTTTTCGATAACTCAATCCTGAACGTAATTTGGGATATAAGCACATACAAAAAAGAACTAAGTTAAATCCGACTATCCCAAAGTGCGTTTTTGGTAATAAAATCTCAAACGCTATAACCACAAAAGCAAACACTATTAAGTTAAATCCAGAAACCGAGAGTGCGTTTTTTGTAATAAAATATCAAACGCACTTCGAGATATAAGCACACAAAGAAATACGACTAAATTAAATATGGAAATTACGAGATGTGTTTTCGGTAACGAAATTATGAACGCATTTCGATATTTAACCACACACAAAAAACAAAGTTAAATTCGAAAATCCTGCAGTATGTTCTCGGTAACCAAATCTCAAACGCACTTCGGGATATAAAAAATAAAATAAAAAATGTTTGAGTTAAATATAAAAATTCAAAAATGCATTTTGGTAACGAAATATCGAACTCAGTTCGTGATATAATCAAACACACACAAAAAATTAAATTAAATAAAAAATTATAAAGTCTGTTTTCAATAATTATATCCCGAATATACTTCGGGATATTAAAAAAAAAAGACTAAGTCAAATTCGAAAATCCTGAAGTGCATTTTCGGTAACAAAATCCTGAACGCACTTCGACATATAACCACAAAAAAAAAACAAAGTTTCAAAAATCTCAAAATGTGTTTTTGATAACAAAATTCCGAACGAACGTCAGGATATAACCGCACAAAAAAATACCACAAAGTTAAATCCAAAAATTATGAAGTGCGTTTTTGGTAACGAAACCCATAACGCATTTCGGGATATAACCACAAAAAATAAGTTAAATATAAAAATCTTGAAGTGCGTTTTCGACAATGAAATATCGGACCTGTTTCGAGATTGTTTTTATTTTACTTAGTCGTTTTATGTGGTTATATAAAGACAAAAGTTATGAATTCTGTTTTAAGGTGTTCGTGATGACTATAACTTGTAGTTTTTTCAAAAAAAATAAATCGTGGTTATCAAACTATGAATCCGTTAATGTATATTTTGTCTTCAACACAAACCACAAATTCGTTGAAATGTTTTAGCGAATTCACCAACCTTTCGGAAACAAGCTTCGCTATAAAATTTTGCAATTTTTTGGGGGCCTATTAGTCACGAGTGTGTCTGAGTATATTACCAATTGCTAGAAGACTCAAAACCATGATCCCTGTTAAATAACTTCAATAATGTTTAAACTGAAAACAGTGGAAAGTGATGTAATCTTAAGAAAATTACCGAGGCTGGGATGTGAGTTATCGACAATTATCACCTTTGCACCTGTATTTTGCCTTTGCCCAATGGCGACTTGCCATCAACTGCGCCATGGCTGAAAAATGAAATTTCAATTTGCAGACAACGAATAAGATTTTTATAAATCACTTAAGGCATATCAATTAAAAAAATAAAAATAAAAAATTAATACTATGAATAAGATCACGTGTAGTGAGGTTGCGGGTGGGGATCCAATAAACACAAAAAACGAGCATTTTGCCAGTAGATACATCTCTCTTTTCATCGTCCTCCACCCTCAACCGAATAACAACACCCCCGCCTGCAGCCCCACCCCATCCTTGACCACCATGGTTGGGGCGGGGGGCAACATGCATCCCCTCTGATGGTTGGAGGGAGACAACAAAGTTATGTTCGTAGAAGTCCCCTGTATAAGCCTTAAGAGTAGTGGTAGGTAGGTAGTGCAGGTGAATCGAAAGAATTTGAGAGATGATGAAAAATTTGAAATAAGAATGTAGCGTAGTTAAAAAAAAAAAAAAAGATAAATTTTAGTATTTATTCTATTATTTGATCCTTAAAAAAAAAAAAAAAAGTTGTATGAATTAATCATGGCTTTGAAGGAGGCCGATAAAAAAAGTGTAGTATCTGTTCTAATCAGTTTAATATGCGACATAAACCTTAGGAGTAGTGGTAGGTAGGTAGTGAAGGTAAATCGAAAAAAAAAAAAAGATGATGAAAACTTTGAAAGAATATGAAAGCGTAGTTAAAAAATATATATATATATAATAATAAAAATAAGGTGTAATATCTGTTATGTTCTTTGATCCTTTTTCTCTATAAAAAAAAAGTAGTATGAATTAATCTTGGCTTTAAAAGAGGCCGATAAAAAGTGTAGTATTTGTTATGATCTGTTTAATATGTGATCCGCGGTCATTGCCCCTCCCCGGCCCCCCCCCCCACAAAAAAAAAAAACCCTTTAAGAAAGTGAGTTTGGGAAAAGGAAAAAATAACAGACTTTGCTCCAGTACTCATGACAAGCACAAAAGAAAAAAAATGTAGCAGCAGTGCTCAAGAAAAAACAAAAAAAAGGCAGTGGGTGCGTTCTGCCTTCTTCACAAGCACCTCTGCACGTGAAGCAGCCTCCCAAAGCCCGTAGATAAATTGTGCCTTTCCAAATGCAATAGAAAAGCAAAATTGGAAAAAAAGAAAAAACCAAATAGAAAAGCATGACAAAAGAAACACTGCTGACCAACGAAAAGAAGTGAAAAACAAGCAACAAAACCCCATCCACACCCATTCCCACAAACCACCGGTCTCCACTGCCCAACCCTTGAAATTCTGGACGCCGAACCTGTACTTCGGTCGCGCTCTGCTTTCCCACCGGGTCTAATCCCTTCTTCCCCCTTACCGACGACCTCCCAACTCCCTGATTACCAGTAGACTCCCATCGACCGTCGAAGTCCACAACACAAAACGACAAAGCCAACGGTGGCAAATGCAGCCCCTAGATACTCTAGAAAACACCCCGGAAAACACTCCTTCTAAACCACCCTGGAAACACTCCTATCTAAAACCCAGGATAAATATTCACCGACTCCCCGCCTACTTCTTTAGGCGAAACCTGCCTTGGTTCCTAGCATTCCTGGTACTTCCACTGCCGAGACGGCCTTACTGTGAGTCACACCAACCGAGTTCCCTTGACCCGTCCAAATAGCCGCACCCTGCAATCGTCTAGTTCGCGGGCGTATGGCAGTGGCAGGCGCTTGTGCCAAAATTTGTCCCGCACCCCACGGCTTCCCGCGGCGCTTCTCCATTGCGCGCCCCTTTTACACAACCTACCATAGCAGAGCCCAAGGGTGTCCCTTCGCCTTCGCCTTCGCCCTTCGCCTTCGCCTTCGCCTGCAGCCTGAGTCGGATTCCCGCCCGCAGCGTGTTTCTTGGGAACTCGAGGCTGCCGACCGGAAGGAGTTTAGGGTGACACGTGTCCTGTGCTGGAAATCTGCATCGTGCAGTCGGTGACGCGTGGCCTCTCTGGAGTTGTCGTGCCGTTCAAACACAGCGCCATGCTGCCGACGGTGCACCGGGGGAGGTCCCCCGCCTACCGTACCCAGTCATACCTCCCGCAGTACTTGCGAAGAATCATCAAGGTAGGTCTGTATATTTGACGACATTTCCCGTCCTGTACTTTCTCTCCCATTCAGATCTTTCCTCCTCTGCCTTTTCTGGATTACTGGCGTGGTGGTGACACGTGGCGTCTCCCTGTATTGTGAGCCTCAACACGTGGCATCTCGCCTGCGTTTGGTATCCACTGTCTCGACGTTATTCTGGGCTGACGCGCCGATCCACGTGGCATTGTTGAGACAACGCATGCGCTACTTGGGAAGGAGGCAGAGAGGGAAGGAAGAGGGGTCGTTAGGTAGGTAGATAGACACATGGAAAGAGTTGTGTGTGTGTGTGTGTGTGTGTGTG